CCCCCCGGCGCCTGCCGGCTTCCCCCCCCTCCCCCTTTCCCTCCCCTTTCCCCCCTAACCCCTGGCCATTCAAAACCAACTGTCGGTTTATGCATCCCTCTGCAATGCGGCTAGTACAAAGAGGCTACCGCCAGTCTATAGTAGCTAGTGGATTCAGATACAGCTTTGTTGGCCTACCCGTTCTTCATTGTTCCGACGCCGTCTGGAATCTGCGCCGCATAGAGTTTCGATTTCTAGTCCACCTCTGCTGCATTGCAGGCCCAATCGTCGAAACGCCGTTGCCGACAGTCCGTTGCAGACTCGGCCAGCCTTGCGCATTCGTAGTAGTGGGGATGAAACTGGCGGCGATGAGTCACGAAAAGGGACGTGTGGCATTTGTGAAGTCTTGCGGGGTGAGACAACGCACAGCATTTTTTCCCACAGTGGCGAAAAGAATATGGCGAGCTGAATAAATATTGTGTCGAAGACTTCCTGTGTAATTTCAGAGTTCAGAGGGTCCCGGCATTGGCATCGTGACAGAATACCCCAAAGAATACACTTCCTCCACCCTTGGAGGGGGTAAGGCATATCCATCACACCATCATAGGCGGAGCTCCTCGCGAGTACAATTGAAGCGTCACACCACTGCTGCTTCTTAAGTTAGCTCACGTGAATGTAGTACTAAATCCAGTCTAGCAGGTCACTGCTGGCGTTTGTGTCTGATTGCAGCGTGGGCTGGACAGTCAAGCTTTGCAGAGCTCAACTCACTGCAAACGAGACGCAGAAGCACTTCCATGGCAGGCAGGGGGAAGCAGCGGATACGTGAGGAGGACGGCGTGGTATCATGGTTACAACAGGATGATAAAGTTTTCTCAGTAGACAGCATGACTGTCATTTCCCCGCTGCCTGTGGACGACAGTCTGGCAATATGCTGGAACTCCTTGAGGACTCCCACAGACAGGCTGGAAGACTTTACCCTTGAAATTGGCAAGGCGTTGGGCTACGGTAAGCATCAGTGCGTAGTCCATCTTTTATATCGTGCATCTTAGAGTTGCCGTGTGCCTGACATACCAGGAATCGCCCTCAAGGCCATCTCTCCAAATCAACAACATCCACGATAATTAGCTTTTTGTTATCTGCCCCTTCACAGGAGTCAGCGAAGTGAATGCCTTCTGTACCTCTGGTTCTGTTTGTGGCATCGACGTCATCACAAAGGGCTCCCTCCTGGACGAAGACGTTTTGCTCATAAGAGCTTTCAAAGGCTTTTGTGGATATGAAGCTGCGGTTGCTCTGGAGCTCCCGGGAGAAGGTCGGACTTCCAACTGCGCAGAGAGTCGCATATGTGTGCAATTCTCGCTCTCGTCTAATTTCGCTTGCTAAGTATGTCACAATCTGATTGGGCTGTGCTGCATGGTTAGTATCCCGGGGTGTGTGCAGGAAAATTCAGCCATTTGAGCGAAACAACCTATGCGTTTTCCTCGCCGGTTGACCCCAAGGAGCCAGAGCTTGCAACTTACGAATTGTGCTGGTGTGACGAACACTCAACGCCTGACTGCAACGTGACCGACTTTGTCGAACACGTCGGTTCTTTGCAGATTCAGAGTAAGTCTTGAAGGTCCCTTACGCTGCTGCCGTCTCCATGGCATTTGTTTGTGCGCCTGGAATTGCTGACAGTTAAGCAAAGCATGCCCACAACAAAGTGTAGCAGGGCAGTTTTAGTGAACATGCCGTGTATGCTTTCTGTTAACTTTTCTCAGCCATGAAGCAACTGCAAGTGATTTGCATAAGGGACGCAAACGGAGAATGCAAAATAAGCCTTCCCGCGAGCATGGACAGGGATTCGCTCGTATATATCTCCAAGCTGACTAGCACTTCGCCTGCGTGTACCTCCCCTGTTTACCTATTACCGACAAACCTCGGAGTAGTCAATGGTGATGAGCTTGAGATAAGCGTTGCTGTCAGCTCCTTGGAAGCCGCAGGTCTTGTTGGCGTTTCCCTGGCCATTTGCTGGACCCAACATGGAAACATATCGACAGATAGCATTCCTTTGTGGAATAGTTCGTTCCTAGGCACCTTGGTCTTCATTGACCCTAAGGCCAGTGCAAATACCACGTATGTTGGCTTGCCACCGATCGTACGCGTCGACGTTCTTGGCTTGGCAGGGGAACAGAGTTCACAAGTCGACTTGCCGCTCCCTTTGCAGCAGCTCTATCTTAAGGACAAAGGAACTTGCGGGCCATCAGCATCAAGCGTTGCACTTTCACTAACTGTGAGATCAGTAGAGGCAGTGAAAGGTACGAAACCATATATTCACTCACCTATATACACGACTAGGGCGACGTGTGACTGTCCGATGGCTAGGTGAGAGCTCCCAGCTGACTTGTGCTGATACGCAGGAGGAACTGGACTTCAAATTACCTTTGGGACTATGGAGCTAATTCAGCTTGTTCTGCAGGAGGTAGAAACAAGCGTGCGTGAACTGTCTTTGTGCTGGTGTTACAACAACTCATCGTGCGCCAACTCAGAAGATTTTGACTTAGAACTTTCAAGGTTGCAGTTCCGGGCCCCTGCCTCAGGGGTGTCGCACGAATGTACTTACGACACTACCTGCCTCATGAGCATCAAGGATATCCCAGTGACCGAATTTGCGTCGTTCCTGCCGCAGCTCCTTATCCGGAGTGATTGTGCAGGTAAATCCCCGTAACCTCGTGAACGTCGCTGGGAAACTAGTAGCGTATGTGCAGCACTCATTCCCATCTTCCACTCCAGCGAGTAATGTGTTTTTTTCCAGACGACACGGCGGATGACGGTCTCCCAGACGGTGGCAGGATGTCACTCCGACTAACCGGAGCAAAGGCTGGTGGCGGGGACTCAAGTACTCCATTTGAAGATCACATGTATGGATTCACGTCTCTAGTGAGCCGCGAGCGGGCTTTAGCGGGCATGCAGCAGGTGCACAAGATGGTATGCTACTGTACGGACTCAACAACGTGCACACCGGATCGTCTGGTGAACATTGGACAGCTGACTATATCAGGTAAGGCTTTTGGGCAGGGCATGTCGGCGTTCCCCTTTCACCTAGGCTGGATCTCAAGGTTTTTGCCTAACTTACTCGTATGCTAGATTGATGGGTCTTGTGCTGTCTCGCAGACGTGTGGAATACTGAATTCCGTGTATCTTTAGTGCAGCGCATTGAGCTGCCGTTCACCGTCAGCAGCCCACTGAAGCAGCAAGACGCGGCGAGAAAGCTGAAGATAACACGAGGGGACAATTCGCTTCCATGTGTTGTGGACAAACAAGCCAACTTATGTTCAGTTAGCTTTCAGGACTTTCCGGCAGAAACCTTGTCGTCTCCTGATCCGGCCACTCTCCAATACTACGATTCAAGCCTCCCCCAAGATACTGCCGACACCCGCCCCGTTCCGTACGTGGCGATAGCCTCTCTAGTGCCTGCAGGTGTGTAACTTTCCATCCGCTGTGCGAACGATACTTTACCATGCGAGGCATGGAGACGCGTTCGCAGAGTAAAGATTCAGCCAGCAACCGTGTTGCAGCCTCTATGTTGTTGTCATATTACTAGGCCCATGGAAGATGGACTACACGTTTCTCTGTCTGGTCGGAGGGTTCTGCGAGGTCACAATCGATGTCGTGAATTGGCGAACCGAAGACAAAGTAGCCTTGTTGTCGCATTGTGGTAATGCTGGAACGGATGAAGTGGGCCTGAACCAGGCTTCAGAGAGTGTCGACGGCAGCTCAACGTCAGTTATGTTCCGATGGACCAACCGTTTGGAACTTTCAGCGAGCCAAATGGAAAGTGGCCTCGAGCTGTGCTGGAAGGCGGTGGAAGATGCAAAGCTGCCTGTTGACTCCGTCAGTGATTACTCAGCAAAGTTCGGCACTGTGTCGATTGCAGGTAATAGCCTTCTTTGCATCGCACGCCGGAGCCAATTTTTTCATATAAATCTTGGAAATGTATGCTTGCCGGACGACTAATCCATACCTACCTTGCTCGTCTACCCTTTGCTCCTCAGGTGTTTTCCCAAATCAAAACGCTTCTTGTTACGTCGGGCAGAAGTGCACAGTTCAACATCTTAAAGCCCAAAACCTTTCCGACGGCACAAGTGTCGCAGTGCTCGACGGGGGCTGCGGCGCCGATGGAATTGAGTGGAGCTTTGTTCCAAACGGTGGACTCATGGTCACAGACACTGTCGGCGAGAAGGAAATAACGGTTTCCTTTCCGGGAAGGTTGCCAGGTTAGCGCTTTTCCTTTATATTTCCACACACACAACCTGGGAAATGGTTTGCATCTTCGCCAGATAGCCCACCCAGTAGGTGATTTCTTCATCTGAAGTGGGTGCCAAGTTGAGTGTCTTGTGCAGTAATGGAAATCGGCTCGCTAGTGATGTGCGGCTGTAGTGAGCGCGAGTGCACTACTTTGCAAGACTATGGATGGCGCATAGGGGAGTTGTCGGTTAAAGGGCCAACTTCCCATGCACCCCACTTGGAGCTGTTTGCAACCTTGGACATTCGCCTGTCTTTGTCGGGGGATTTCGACGACATGTTCTACTTGCTTCTAAAGGAAGGGGATAGCTGCATTACGGGTCAAGCAGACGCATCCTGGAACTTGCACGGATTTTCACCAATTACCCATGGCCAGGCTGCTTGGGCGCCCTTTGACGAGGGTAAAGGCCCGCTTTCCGTGTGCATTTGTCATGATAAGGTGGCGGGCCTTTCGGATCCGTTCGGAAGCCCATCCGAGGTTCCAACCTACTGCGAAGATGCATCAAATTACGCCGTGAAAGTTGGCCAAGTCTTCGTTAACGGACCTGTCAAGCAAGATACCGAATTTACCTGTCGTTCAGGATCCATTTGCACAGTGACGCTGCGGTACATTGCAATGGACTCTGAGACAACCAGAGAACAATGGGCGAAGAGCCAAGTTTACTCGCAGAAAGTAAGTTGCCCGGACCATGAGAAAACGGTTATAGGATGTTCTACTGTACCAACTTGTCGTACCACCTGCTCCAACGTTATTAATTGAATTTTAATGCAGGAAGAATGCGGCGTTGCTGGAACAGTACTACTATCTGGGGGCTACTACATTAGCGACACTAGAGTCGGAGAACAAATCATATCAACGGACTCGAAATACCCCATTGTCTATGAGACGCGCGAATCTGCCTTTATGTTCCACGACGTTGTGGATCTCGGGGCAGGAACGCACAACTTGTGCTGGAGGCAAGACGGTGCCACCACGGGTGTGACGCTAGGAGCTTTCACCATTCAAGGTAGGAACCTTATATTCGTGGAGGGCTCTAGGACCGGCCCTCTCCCAGAATATGTAGATCTCCTTGTGACCCCTACCCGCATCCCAGCTGGAATAGAGGCGTCCGGTATTTACTATTTTGCTTGTTTTTGTGGTCCCTAACACTACTTCACATTGCAGGCCCTCTTCTACACCAATCTATTTTGCCAATTGTAGTTGGCAAGAAGTTCTCCGTTGAAGTACCTATGAACAGCATTATTGGTGATGAGGAGGCTGCAAAGTATCGTATTCGAGCCTATGCCTATAAAGGCAGCGACATTTTCAACAACTTTTCATGCAGGCAGCAAGCGGACGATTACTCTTCGCCCGCCGTACTCGGTTGTACACCGGCCACCGGACCTCCTACGGCCGTCAAGAACAGTGAGATTGGCAGCATCCTCATCTGGAATGACGTGTGCGTCATCGCCGATGAATTGAACAGTGCAGCTTTGGCAGGTGATAAGTATGCTGTGTGCTTCTGCGATGGAAACGTGCTGGGCTGCGACACTGCTGATCGGTTTCAAGTTCTCGTCCAAGCCTGGGAGTTGTCCGGTGAGCAACAGGGAAGATTATCCTTTGAATAGTATATAGTGTTGGCAATTACTGTACCTGATTACTGTATCTGTGCCCAGATGGGGCAGCTACAATGGAGCATGCTATTTTTCTTGTGAAGCGCTTTGCTTGTCGCAGGACCAAAACCGCTGCAGCAGGATGTTATCCCACGTTACCGAGCAGGCGTTCGATTCGATCTGAATATCGAAGGGGTCAACTTGAACGATGATCCAGTTATTATGCTTTCACCAGCTCTCGATCCTCTCACCAACAGCCGCTTCACTTGCCAAAGTGATGGGAAGCTGCAGATGCGCAGGTTTGTCGGCAGTGTCTCTGATGACCGGGCTCTGGCGGTGTTCGCCGATGTTTATGCTCCCTTTACGATATCTCAAGGACTTTTCTGCTGGTGCCCTGGAGGCGAATGCTTAGATGCAAGTGAATTTACTGTGCAACTCGGCCGTTTTGGCGTGGCAGGTACGTTTGGATGTGAAAGAGCCCTATGGAGTTCTACTTACCTGATTGTACTTCTTTTTTCACTTTGGTCTATCCCTGCCGAGACAAGTGCGTCAGTTTTCAAGCTCTTCTGCAGTTCATGCTGTTTCAGCATATTTTATTTAAGGTGTCTATTTACCGCTTCAGGTCCCACCTTCATTGCACCGCGTGTGGTGGTTGGCAGCTACTTTACCGTCCAGTTGATAGGTCCAAGTCTCAACACAGATGATGCTATCAGTATCCGAGGTCCGACGGATCTTTGCGGGGACCCTGGGACCCAGAATATGGATCCTGACCTTGTCATGAAGGAAACGAACCGCACTTTGAACAGTTTGGGAACAGTTGAGTCATTTTCTGTTTTAGAGGACAGCGCTTCAGGGGATACGGAAATGACCTGGACTTCATGGGGAATGCGCATTAAGACGACAGTCCAGGGATACATGAAAATATGCTACTGCCCGTCAACGGAACAGGACTGCGACTCGTCTGGAAGCAAGTTAGTGCTTGCTGGTTTACTAGAGACGCGTGGGCCCTCGAAAGAAGGCGTCGAGCTAATTGGTACGGCATTGCAGTCCGTTATGTATAGGCTGTAACACACCTTGAATCGCTCTTTTGGCTAGTCCTTCTTAATGCACAACTTGTCTTTAGCGCATCTGCTATTTTCGCCGCTCTCGCAGCTTCTGAAGAGTACGGCGAATACCTTATAGTCCGCGGTACTAACTTGTCAACTCGGAACCTCTTAAGGTATTTCCAGTATATACCTCGTGAAGACACTACGACTGCTGATCAAGAGGCCGAAATATGCTCAAATTGTGAGTATTTGCGAGGGTTCCTCAGAAAGGTGCTTTTTACCATGTCATAAAGGGCTTTGTATTAGGAAGTGAACTTCCGTGACGTTCTGCTGAGTGACTATTTTGCTTTCTAGCACTGGCTGTTCATGTTTGCAGCCATCGATGTGAGCGGAGGGGTGACGACGTTTCCTGATGCTGTAAACGCAGCAGGCACGGAGCAGTATTTCTCAGTGACAGTTTCTGTGGGAAAGCAATACGCAGCGTGCTGGTCGTTTGGAGATGCCGTCGCATCGAGAGCAACATCTATCTCACGGTCTAAAGTAGCTCCAAGCTTCATATCGGCTGATGACCTTATCAGCGTTAGGAGAAGCCTAATAGAAACAGATAATTCCTCTCTTACTGAGGTACCCGCCTCTGATCAGCCTGATCAGTTTGTAATTTCGTCATCAGACGACCGTACCTCCCTTGATCCGGAATCCAGGAAGTGGTTTTTTATATCGCTCTTTTCCCAGACAGGTCGGCTTCTCCAGCAGATGCCATAGCCCACTCACTAACCATTGAAGGAGTGCTTCTGTGCCCCCCGACATTTTAATCCGATTTGCGAAGCGTATTTTGGTTCCGCTGTTGTATTTTGGCCCAAGTGGATATGTTCTTATCCACTGGCTCAGGCTTCCAACAAGGCGTCCATAACGTGGTTATGGGGCACGAAGACACCGTTGTCATTAGTGGAGTTATAAACGCAACTGATACATACGAGGTGGCACTTGGACTTAATCGGGATATGAGCGAATGCTCCGAAATAGTCAGTAGGATTAAGCTCCAAAGCGACATAAGCGTCACTCCAGTTTCTGTCTCCGAAAGCCGAATGGTTCTTCAGTAAGTCCGAGCCTGCATGGCTCTTCTGAATGTGCCGGCATGAAGCGGTCTTTGGAAATTTCAGTAGTTTGCCCAACGTATCAGTTTTGGGCATTGGCTAATGTTCTCTCTCACTTAGGTGCAGTTGTAGGCTAACACGAACCCAATAAAGTTTCTCTAGAGAGATTTTGCTTGTCGTTGTGTATTGACAATTAATTCTAGCATTCCCTTGCCTATGTCAGGCCGGCTGTGTCACTGCTGGGGTTCGCCTTGCACCTCTCGCGGTGTTCGAGAGGTGCAGGTGCCGTGCATACTAAGCTGCACGCATATTCCTGTTCATTGTGCTTGATGGCTATGCAGGATGGGTGCCGCACAGGAGCAGGGGTGGCACAAAATCTGCATTGAGAATAAAACTGCCTCTTTGGTCTTTGATGCGGGGACGGTAGAAGTCACTTCCTACTTTCAGAAGTCAGGGATGGATATGTATGATACACAGAGGACATTTGTACTGCCCTGCCTCACAGGAACGAGAAATTCGCTCAAGCAACAGGTGCGGAAATTCCCGCAGGTTTGGCTGCCAGATGGTACAGGCCTGTGGACCGCCAAGGTGGTCGTTGGCGTGCCGCGAACGAAGAAGGAGTACTCAACACTCCAGGTTAATTCGTCACCAAAGGAAAACTTTGTGGAATTTCCGGTAAGAACAAAATCACGTTTGCGGTAGATGTTTATGAGGTGTGATGCCGATTCAGCTCGGGCTCCCGAGTACTTGTGAAATTCTGCCGCTATTGACCTAAAGCTGGAGGTTGCTCTCGTTGTGTGTTGCCCATTTGCGTGCCTAGCAACTACGCAACGTACTGGCGTGTGACACGACGAAGGATCAGGCGATCCTTGTGTTAGGAGCTACCCACATGTTGGTTCTCTACCCCGACACTGAGGAACGCAGCCCGGATTTAATTAACCACGGCGTGCCGTATCCGGCTGATGTGGCTCATGCGGGCGACCAAGTCTTCATAACCAGTTTTGATAGTCACTTGATAACCTCCTTTAATTTGAAGGATCCATCTAAAGTCGTTTTCTACGAACCGAAAAATCCGACACTGCTATCTGCGGGGGGCATTCAGGTCAGGATTCTATTCAGAACTGTTCAGATTCCCTGTGCATTCGTATAGCTGCTGTGCTCCAGAAGCTGTTTTCGTGTACCCACATGTATGCAGTGGCATTTACCTGATATTCACCTGTTGAATGCTCCTTCTTTCTTCTTCCTTCTCAGGCAATCGCAAACATTGATGGCAAGGAGACTTCCATATTCATCGCAGATACTGTCGGAGGAATAATTGGCCGGTTGAAGATTTTACCAGATGACCTGAATAAAACTGCACACGGTGGAAAGATTACTAGGGAGTGGACCGCAGTTTTCGGCAAGCAGAAGTCTGATTTCCGTAATACAGAGGGTGTCAACCGCCCATTTTGCCTCGCTGAGTTTGTAACCCCGTATTCGACCCAAGAGAACATGAATTCTCTGCTCGTTGTGGGAGAGGTGAGATAGAGACGGATTCATACCTTGTACAGCCCTTCGCAAATGAATACAAACTGAACGGCAATGCGACTTCTGTTGTGTCATTTTCGCTTCCGCAGCTTATCTCTGATCGCATCACTTTCCTCAGTATAGATAACATGGGCATTTCCTTTTACAGACAGATCACCTTGGGAGTGACGAAATTTATAACCGGCCTTCGTATCATTGATGAAGTATTGCTCCTCACATCTAAGCAGTGGTCCGTAGAACAAGAGCTTGGCCGGGCTGAAGTTGCATATATCACGCTGAGCCAGCTGATAGACAACGTGTACTTTACTTACCCGGACTTCAGCAAGAAGCTCCAGGCTGGTCTTCGGTATCGTTTCTTGCCCTTAGTTACAGGTGCGTCGATGTGTCTTATGGATCTTGCTCAACTATTTTTCGTGAAGTCGCGACGTCTGTGGTTTCATTCGTTGTCAGAAGCACCGTCTGTCTAGGGAATTTTTGGTTCGCTTTAATTCAGGACAGGAGATCCAGTTTTTCAAGGAGGATGCAGAGGCGGGTGACCCCCTGCAGTCTATAGGGTTTACCCTTGACTCGAAAACTGGGGAAATCCAGGGCACGCTTACAGCAACTGTGACTTCAAGGGTGGTGATTGTAGGTGGTGACTTGCTAGGATCCTACACATGGTCATTTGAATTCGAAGCAGGATGCCAATCTGGAGAGTATTTTAATGAAACCTCAAACAAGTGCGAACCATGTCCGTTAGGGACGTTTCGTGATGAAGAAACTGAACTTCAGCGTTGCCAGGACCATAAGGCCTTCAGCACGACTTTGCAGACTGGCTCGACTAATTTATCGCAGTGCACCTGCATCGAAGGCTACGAAATCGGGCTTCTAGGATATTGCCAGCCCTGCCCAGCAGGTGAGTTTTTCACCTGCACTTAAGAACGTGCGAGACAGGGGAGCGATATTCTTAACTGTTTTTTCCTCCTTGTGGGCGGCATGGCATCCGTGTTTGCTTTTTCATAGGAACATACAAAGCCATAGCAGCAGACGCGAAATGCACAGGGAGATGCCCTCAGCATATGTACAGTGGGAAGACGGGCGCTGCAAGCTTGGAAGACCTTAATTGCCAGTGGTGAGGAGATTCTCTGTTTTCCCTGCACCGAAAAGCTAGGGCAGCTGTATCTGTTCCATGGTTGTATGCTCCTTGCTGCGTCCGTTTTGCAGCGAACCTGGATTTTACTTGACGGAAAACGGATGTGAAAGCTGTCAGGTCGGGACTTACTGTGAAGGGGATTTGTCTCCACCTGTCCAGTGTCCTGCATTTCAAACTACATCATCTTCCGCGAGTTCCAAGTTTAGCGACTGCGTTTGCATAGCAGGGTACTACCGAGACGGCGATGAGTGTGTTCCCTGTGACGTTCTGACGTACAAGCCACTCATTGGGGACCAAGGTTGCACACAGTGTCCGCAACCTGCTCTTAGTGTTGTGGCGAGCAGCGAGCTCCTTGCAACATCAGCACCAGGCACATCAATGTTTTCAAGCAGGCGAGGCTCCACTCAACAGTCAGAATGCGAAGTGTGTGCCAGCGGATATTATTTTGACGCGGTGTCAATGGGTGGCTGCGTACCATGCAAGGAGGACTTCTACTGTCCAGGTTTCCAGCTGGGCATGATTGCCTGCCAAAATCTTTCTATAACAGCTGGGGTCGGGGCCGAGAGTGTATTTCAGTGCAAGTATGTGGCAAGAATTAACACTGCATGATGACGACCTTAGACTCTCCAACTTTATGATAGTATGGAACGGGTTGAGTTAGAGGCTTCCATTTCTTTTTCGTTCCTATAGTTGCAGTCTGGATGAGTTATTGTTGCCATGACTTTATGTGTGCCCGTCAGGTGCCCGAAGGGCTATGGTAAAGTTGCCAGCAGGAATCCTCTGGATCTGAGTCTAGCGTGCACGCCGTGTCCTGTCAACTACTTCCAGCACATGGACGGTGCAGAGGTCGAATGCTTGCCTTGCCCCTCGAATTCCATGACAAAATCTACGAAATCTTCGAGCATAACGAGTTGCGTTGCGCTTCCTGGATACGGTGCTCTGGAGAACTTGCAAGCGCTATCCAACCGGGTGGAGGGGAGCGACACGGATGACTCTAGCAAGAACACGTTTCTGGAGGCTACTGAGCTTGCCAAGGATGTGGAAAAGGCTTACGAATCTCTTTATGCAGAAGACTTGCTTGCCATAAACGTGTTTTGCAAGGAAGATGTCAGCGCTGTTCGAGAATATGATATGGCGGAATTCGTCACTATGCAGTATGCGCTGTCTTTTGCAGAATGTCAAGCTGCTTGCTTAAAGAATGTCTACTGTACCAGTTTTTCCTTTTCTAAGGAGGGCAGATTCCCAACACACACCAACAGCGTTATGAACTACACCGGCATTTACTTCTACTCCTACTGGCCCTGCCATCTGTACATGTTCGGATCGGCCGCAGCCGCAGATGTCGAAACTTGGAATGACACATGGGATGGAAGTGATGTAAGTCGAAAGTTTATAATGTTCCGGAGCGGAGCGCTTGATTTGTGCTAATACCATTAGTACGCCTATCATTGATATGCATATGCTGCCACTCTTGTATCTGCAAGAGCTTCAGGGACCTGGTAACCCTTGCCAACTGAACATATTCTTGTGGGCACAATGAGGGTGCTTGCTTGGCCATTGGATGTCTCTGCGCCTGTAGGTAGAGCCAGGAAAGGGAGTGGCGTGTGTCGTGGGCCGGGTGAAGGACGAGCTTACCTGGCAGAGGTTCCGCTACGTGGAGTGCCCACAGAATGCATATTGTCCGGGAGACAAGGATGCCAGCATCTTTGAGTGCCAGGATTACGCTGTGACCCTCAGCACGGGGGCCTATTCTCGAGAGCACTGTCTATGTGTCCCCGGCCGAGAACCCGTGGGCCATATGTGCGAACAGTGCAAACTGGGCTTCTACAAGAATGCCACAGAAAACATTGCGTGCACGGAGTGCCCACAGTTTTTCACTACCAGCATCACCGCGAGTACAAGTGCATACGAGTGCACTTGCCAAGCTGGGATGTATATGGCGCTTCCCGGCACCACAGGGGATGTAGAACAGGCGATACAAAAGGAAGAACCGGAACAAGCAGAACAAATCGGGCATGCGGAGGACCTTGTTGAAACTGTAGAGACTCCTCCACCAGCTGAATTAGAACCGGCAGCTCTTGAAACCATCGTCAATGCCAGATCGATTCGTGAACTAGGCAGGCACGGAGAAATTGAGCCAATGTCTCCCGGCGGGGTATCGATGTTACAACTGCGGCAACTGCCTTGGCTGGAAGAAGAAACTCGAGAACAGCTGGAAAAGGTAGTAGAATTAGGTACCTGTGTGCCTTGCCACACGGGGATGTTCTGTCCGGGCCATTGGAAAGATCCACCCACAAATTCTACTCATATGCCCCCACAGCAGTGTATTGAGGGGTCAAGCGTCCCACAGTCTACTGTAAATGCAGATTCTGTGGAGAAGTGCCTGTGTCTCGCGGGATATGCCTACGGGCGGTCGTCGGACGCCGCCGTAACATCGGATTCGTACTTTACTTGCAGCAAGTGCCCACCTGGCACATACAAGGAATTACAAGAAAACTCGCCATGCTCAGGTCGCTGTATGAAGGATGCCGAGACGTATCCTGGCGCAGTGAGCAAGAGCCAGTGCTTTTGCCAGGTGGGGCGCTACGCAGTGGAGACGGATGACTCTGAGGGCATGTTCAGTTGTGTTGAATGTATTACTGGGGGTGTTTGTGTTGGTGGTTTCAAGCAAAGTGTTATCAAGGCAATTGAGGAAAACCCTAGCTATACGAATATTACCATTGCGGATCATACAACCCCGTACCCACAAAAGGGATGGTTTGCCACTTTCAAGACTAAAGCCGATGAACCGTGGAGACCTAATTGGTTGCCTTTCACAGTGGATTCTTCGGATGGAACTTCTGGTGCTCTCGACGTAGGTACTGCTGCTGACGAGAACGGTGGCACCGCCTTCGTCCAAACCACGCAGTATGATCGGGTTCCCGACATTCACCCATGCCCTGTAGACTATAGATGCCATGGTGGTCCGTCAAATGCTTGTGCCGAAGGAGGGTCTGGATACCTCTGTAGCACATGTGAGAAGGGTTACGACATCTCTAGCCATGGAGGTGTATGTACGAAGTGCCAGCCAATATGGTTTGAAGTCGTTTACCTCATTGCGTCGAGGCTTGTACTGTGCGTAATCGCTTGGCTCATAGCTGCAGTCAGTTGCCTTGCCGTGCGAAATCCTGCATGTATCCATCCAATATTGATCCGGATCTGGTTGTCTAACTTGTTTGTGTTCTTTCTTTTCGGCTTCTTCCCTGAAAATAGTGTCTCTGCTTTAGTGGAGTGGGCTCCGATGTATAGGGCTGTTTTTACGTATCCAATATTTATATTTACAAAATACCCCAAGGTGTTCTGCATTCTCGACCAGTTGGGTTTCCCGCTGGACTTCAAAAAATGTTGGTTTCTTCAGAGGTTTGCCCAAATGCTTGTGCCGATTCTAGATGTGTGCATTACTACGGTGATTTGTGGAATAGCGCTAATGCTCTACAAGCTGTACAGGCACTCCAAGATCCAGAGAGTTTCGCTGGTGCTGCGTCATGCCCAAGAAGTCCATGCAGGTGACATTTGGGCGATGCGCACTGTGGAGAAGATCCAAGACATGCGGTGCCTTGGATTGTTTCATTACATATCTCCTGCGGGGGCGACTCGCTCACAGAAGATCCTCCGTTTCTTTGGTGACCTAGTTCCAGCATTCATGGTTATCTGGTTTTGGAACTTGCCATTCCTTGTTATCGAGTGCACTCAGCTTCTGGGATGCGTTTCCATATCATACAAGGATGAACCGGCCATGTACTTCTTGACAGCCCTTCCCGAACAAGAATGCTCTTTCAGGGAGCCATGGTTCGTGGCCGGGGCCATCCTTGGAAGTAGCGGCATTTTGGTCTGGGGTATTGGCAGCGTCATCGTCTTTTGCGTATGGATGCTCTACACCGACAACGCCGACAAGTTGGAGGCAAGGTTTCGTTATGGCTTCCTTTCCAATGGTTATGAATTTCAATACCGAGCATGGGAGATGTTCCTAATGGCGCGAAAGCTAGCATGTGCCTGCTTGCTAACATTGCAACTCCACATGAGCGCATCAGGGACCCAGGAGGTTTTCCGGAACTCAGTCAACCTCCTAATTGTTACCATGTGTTTAATCATCCAGTTATTGATTGAACCGTACGACAGACGGAGCCACAATCTAACAAATAGGGTGGAATTTATGGGCCTGCTAACCAATGTCATTAACTGTATCATTATTCAAGGAAGCTTTTCCTTCCCAATTTTCAGTTGGCTAGGGCCGCTGCCGATTGTCCTGTGTGGGCTGTTTCATTTGTACGTTTTATGGAACCTATTCGTAGAGGCGGGGAGAATGGTGCTCATGCGCCCACACCTGGCAAGACTCCCCTCTCCTTGGCGGTACTTCAACCTTGTGACGCGTTCGCTCGCTAGATTATATACTCGAGGACATGCCAAGGTATACTACAACTATATCACTAATGAGATGGTGCTTGAGGCGGCAACCAAGTCGAGGGTGTTCCACATTCGCAGGATGATTCAGCGGAAGAAGAAACTGACGGATTACAGAAAGATCAACTACGAAAACAGGACGTATTTTGTCTCAGCCCTCACCGATTCTCTCTCTAGGCTGGTCATTTCCTGGTGCCAGTTTACTATTCCTGGTGACTGGTTGGATTTTACCATTCGCTATGCATTCTGCTACTGCTTCTGGATGAGACATCGCGCCTCCAGCAACCGGGAACCACTCGATTTGGAAGAATTCGATTCAATGAGACCTTCACTTTTTAACGAGTGTTACGTTGAGGATGATGATGGAGAGGATGACGGTGCCCTAGATCCAGAAACTCAATGCAACGAAGTAGAAGAGGAATTTTTAGATATGCTGGTTGACGACGACGTTTATGATGATAGCCCGATCACTCTCATGGAGCTGTACGTAGCAGTGCAGTCCATGCGTTACATTCCTAAAATGCAGCTTCGCCGGCTTCACGCGTGGTACCGCGAGAGGATGGCAGCGGCTAGCAGCTCGGACATGCCGGCATTGCGCAAAGAAAACGAAGAACTTGAGGCAGAGCTACAGCAATTGAGTGAGGTGCTGCGCAACCGTTTTGCCTCGCCAGCAGGAGGCAACGTCTCATTCAACATCCTGGATTTCTTCTTTGCGGTAGAAATCTTACACGAGGCGGAGGCAGAGAACTCTCGTATCAGGAAGGACATCGACAAGGAAATCGCCAGTATCATGAATGCCCGTGCAGCCCGCTCCGTGGCAGAACGGGTTCAGATGGAACTAGAAAAGACGGACGGAGAAGAGCTTGAGGATATCCTGAGATCGTTCGACGAGGCGGCGGAGAGGCAGACGGAGGCGAAGGCTCGAATGGAGTACCTGGAGTCTGCCATTGAGGACAGCCAGCGGAAAGTTAAAACGCGTAGGAAACCACTTAAGGAGCTTTCGAAGAGTCGTGTGATAGTAGGGTCAAGACGCATCAGTTTAGCAGAGGAGAGGAAACGTATTCTTCGCCCAAGCTTCTCCAATCTTGATGCAGCCGGCGGTAAGCCTAGCCGCAAGTCACTATCACCAGTGGGACCCCAGAAATCCACTGCTACCTACGGCCGCACCATTTCGCCAGTTGGTTTTGATACCGACAGAGGCTCAGGTGACGGATCAGGGCGAAGGCGTATTAGTGTAGGTATAGGGTCTGCGGGAAGTGACGGGGCCGAAAATGGCGCACAAGGAAAATCAAGGCGCATCTCCCTGTCTCCCGTGCCCAGCGATGCATCTGGAGAAGCAAGGCGGCTAGGGACGCGCACATTACTATCCCACAGCAGTTTCAGTTCCGATAGTGTTGGCAGCCCCTCTAACAACCGGAGAACCGTCAGAGGAGCTTCTCTTTTGGGATTACCCGATAGTCCCTCTTCGACTGACGATGCGGAAAGACCAGCTAAGAGGACTGCCAGAATTGCTTCTCCACTCGCACCCACAGCATCGGCAGAGGGACCGGCAGGTTTGGAGCAGCAAGGGTCACGCCGCAGAGTAATGCGTGTTGGAAGTGCGACTTCCTCAGAATCAACTCAAACAGGGACGAATGTGGAGCCAACTGAGGCGGCACCAAAGAGAGCAATCAGAGCACCACGGCGAACCGACGAGGAGCAGCTAGGAGATTCTCAACCACCAGAATCATCCAAAGCCTCTCCACCAGGTGTAAAGCGGTCAATTGGGCTCTTTAAGCGGCCCCCCGAGCCTAAAAAAGACAAACAGTGAATTCTGAACCACTATAATGTAACTGGGGGAAATCTGCACGCCTGAATGCTGCAGATTGGCTTGTTCGAGGTCTTGCGATTTGGGGATGTTCAATCGCTTAGCGGCAAATACTACTGTGCTTCCCGCTGGGCAAAGTGGAACCTGTTTCCAGCAGACTTTTAAGCTTCTTGTGCAAACTTTTGTCATTCGTAAACTGCGGAAGGGGTCGCTTCAACGTGACCTCCTATAACATACAGTATTCCGGCTTCTCACCTCCTTTCCCGTAACCATGGCAACCTTAGTCAGGCCTTCTTAGAGAGAAAACCCATGGCTAGGTCCTTCGAGTACCTTCCAGTCCCCTCGGAAACTTGTTGGTACTGCCACCTCCTGGCAGTGTGTATTTTAGGCTTCTTACGATTTAAGCATAGTCTGGCTACGATACTAAGGTACTGCCACCTGCTGCCAGTGGCGTTGTAGCTCGCTTTCGATTCCGTTTAGGGGAGCTACTCGAACAAATAGCCCACTGGCGCACTTGCTTAGTTAGCTGGTTAGGTAGGTAGCGTTGCTCATCTAAGCAATTTTACCAAGCAAAGGATCGAGAAAAAGTCGCAGTGGCGTGCTTTACCACAATCTGTAGCAACATGAAACTAGACTTACCCAACAGCTGCTGAAGAGGGTTATATTTTTGCCGGATATCGAACGAGAGGCAGACCAGGTGCTGCTTCTGACTAAAAGCAAACCAAGTGATTCCTTGGCGTGCTTTTGCAAAAGTAGCTCGAGTCGGCGATCAACGTGGCATCCGCCGACGATGAACTGCCAATCCTGCGATGTAGCAACGGACGGGGTCATCTACAGTGAAAAAAAACGGCCATGATTTCACTTCCCTTCTAGCGTTACATAATGGCCTCTTTCTCTTTGCCTTATGCAAGTTGCAATAATGCAGTTATTCTCAATAGGTTCCTGGAAGTGACTATAATGCAACATACGTACGACGTTTCTAGTGGTGTGTTACACACAGCTTCACCCTTTGCTTGCTTTATAACATCACTTTGAATGAGCCCTATTGGCTATTCCTTGCCCCGTATCATATGTAAAGCACTAGGACACTTCAGCAGAGCAACAGTGCTTAGGGAAGTGCTCCTCTGCGTCTGAGTAGTACTCAGCCAAGTACTAAGCCTAAGGGCGCATCGTTTTGCGGGCGTAGTTCCTGAACACCGGGTTGAGCAGCCCAGCATCCACAACTTCTTGTGTATCAGTAGCTCGTATGGATTAAAATTGCTGGTTTTAAAGTTTCGGGTTTTTCCTGCGGACGATAGTTCCCACTGAAACAACAACGGACAGTGCTGAACGAACTCCTATGGAACTCCACTCACCCGCCCTATTGGCACTCCCAGATCAAGGGGCAAAACGCCGAGAGGAAACAGACAGTGAAGAATATTCCGCCTAACGCCCGCACGGCCGTGTGACTTTCGCCCATGGGCCCTTAGTGTGCTCTTGTTGGCAGCCCCTATGCATTCCCCTTCAGCAATTGTCTACAGTTTCAGTGCAAGCAATCAAAAGCGCTTGGTTGTGCTTGTATGTGTGGTTGCCTGGAAGCTTGAGTTGCAGCTAGCTGCGTTGCAGATGTCGGACAACTTGCCCTCACCACCTGGCACTTCGCCGGCGGCACCCAGGGAACCTGGAGCCTCAGAATGGAGATCAGACGCCTTCAACGAATTCTTACCTTGACTATTAGGCTACATTGGGACCCACAACGGTCCTTTAATAGGGTAAACTAGTCCAGTTGCAGGCAACAAACATGAACCTAGCAGGAGGCACGGCAAGCGCGGGCTAGCCGTGCAGTACAGAAGCCACAAAGAAGCAGTGTTCGGCGTGAAGGAAAGTAAACGCAAAATAACTGGAAGGAAAGCTTCAGCAGGTAAGAATTTTGGTCACCTGCGGTGGGCTTTGGAGATCTGCGAAGTTGAGACGCCGTGTCACTGATATTGGCGTCTACTCCCATGTCTGGATTTCGGTCATATTCAAAGCCTTCTCTCTGCTTCAACTAATACAAAAGCTCACGCACTGCTTACTATCTTGTGTAGGGATCCTTCCCAATCCTTGCTCTTTGCGGGTTCCTGCCCCCAGCCCCCCCCCCCCG